CCCCCCCCCCCCCCCCCCCCCTCTTATGTAGAATGCCTGAATATCGAACACTGCGATTGAATAAAACAACCGAAGGAATTTTCCCATTCGTGTTCACAAAGTGGGAAACAATGGAGCAAGAGGGCCCCTTAGCTACACTACTCTAATTTGGCCTATAGTTGTCTTAGTGCTTCAATCTTTGAACCATAAAAAACAGTCTTTTCATGTATATATAAATCTTTCAAACCCATGATATTGTGTAGAACTAGTCGAATGACTTGTCTTTGGAATGGTATTGAAAACAATCTCACCAGCCTAGATATTCTCTTCCAATAAGCTAAAGTCTGTGTGCATGTGGGAAGATTAGAATGAGGCAGAGTCTATATCCTTTAGCAGGGTCCTTGACAAGGGCAATTTGTCACAACTGCCCTCCCAAGCAAGAGGACCATAGATTTGGAAAGGACCACAAATTCAGGTCCAGGAAAGAAAAGCTCATTGTAGCGTGGGCGAAAATGACAAGACATGAATCTTCACCCAACTTTATCAACCAAAAACCAACACTGATTAAACATTTTCAGCAATGTATGACCCAAAGTATGCATGTATTTTCATCTTATGAATTGCAATTTTCTCCTAAGATTTTATTTTTGTTGCAAAACCAGCCAAATCTAAAACAACTCAAGCTCAAAAAATATATAGTTGTTCAAGACTTTATTCAATCAAAATGAACTTTTTCGTTGGGAAAAAAAGAAGATGGAAAACATTCAAATAAATTTTAATGTAAGGTAATTTTGTAACATTTATGAACTGTCTTTAGATGTCTTTAAAAACATTTATAAACTGTCTTTTGAAAGAATAGTTAATCAAATGGCAACATCCCAAGTGATTTTTATAATTTAGTCTAAAAATAATAGGACACTTTTATCGGTGAAAATGGATAGTGAGGCTAAGGGTTGGTTACATATTACATCTTCCACCTACACAACTCAATATTTTTTATGGATACCTCTATCTAACCAACTCTCTCTCTTTCTTAGGAGGTGGATAGGGAAAAGGAAAAAGTAATGTATGAACTGATACATGGTGTATGGAGGAAGGGAAAATGAGGACCCCTCTGCAGCTTTGTTCCATCAAAATGTTGTATTACCAAGTGAAGTGAAATTGGTGCTAAGATACAAAGTGAAGAAGCTTTGGTTACAAGGGAAAGAGCTTGCTTTCACATGCTACTCCTTCCAAGTCAAACCTACTTTAGATAAGCATCTTATTTTAGGTCACACAATCTACAAACAGCGAAATTCTTTCACGGCCAAAAGAGGATTTTCAATGAATAATGACCTTTATACACTTAACTTTGGTTGGTATTTGTCTGTACTTTTCCTCATTTCTCACCTCCTTTTTCCGTTTCCTTCTCTCTCATACACACACTGTTCCCTTCCAACAGCTGAGCTCACATGTCTTCACTTTCTCTCCCATCCCTTGTAGTTCTCTCTCTCTCTCTCTCTCTCTCTCTATGGCTCCATTTCCTGTATTATCTTCCAAAAATGGTTGCCGCACTCTGTAATCTTTAGGTTCTAGCCCTATTACTCATTTTTCCTTTCACAAACAATTTCCCCAAAAGTGAATTTCCTGGAAAACGAGTTGCAAAGTATCTATCATTTCCCACCTCTCAAATCCATAAACGATAATGTAAAAAGCACCTTAGATCCACGTTTTCACACAATAATTTTTATCTCTTCATGTAAGACAAGTAATAGATAACTGATGCATTCAACAGAGTAGGAGACAAAAGAAAAAAGAAAGAAGAAATAAAGAAATAAAGAGAGAAGGGACTATTTATACGATTAACTTTTTCTTAAAATATTGGAAACAGATTATGTATACAATAAAATGATAGTGAACAAATCAAAACTTTCTAATTATATGAGATAAATTTAATCATTTAATCTATCCAATACCCAAATTGCGATCCACAGACACTCCATTAATGTGTTTGCTTCTCCTTTTCTCTTTTTAACATATTTTTATATTTCAAAGGAATTCAAAAGAAGAGGAGAGAGAGAGAAAATCAAGTATTAAAGTTATTTGAAAGAAAAAAAAGGTATAAAGTGAAATATTCTAAAGCCGTACTTGACAGTCTTACCAATTTTAACTAGTGGGTTACTGTTATTTTTTCCAATTGCCTTTACATGTCACTTATGACTCATCCCATTTTAACTAATCAAACTGGACACACAGATTTATTTTAAAGGAGAAAACTTGAATTCAAATAAGATTCACATCTCATATCATTTCATATCTCATCTGTCATTATTTGTAAATAAAATTTCGTCCGTTTCAGAAATCTAAAAAGATTAGACAAATTTAAATGTGTTATTAAGCAAATTTACATAAAACACCTTATTTAAATAGGATACAAGTTATCAACTAATATTTAAAAATAAGAAAAATATAAATAACTTAATCTTAAAAATAAAATAAAATATACTACTAATTTAAATTAAGTTATATTCCCAAATATTATATCTTTATACAACTTTGTGGATGATCTTAGGATTTTTAAATTTCCGTTTCTGTTAAGATGTGACGACTGATGAGACGAGTTTACCTCACCGACCCAGCAAAAAAATTAAAATAAAAGTAAAAATTTCCCAAGAATTCTGGTGGGTGGTAAAAGACACAACTTAGGACACGTAGCAAACTGGAAAGAGAAATATGGCGGAAAGAAATAATGGGCGATTGAACAATTCAAAGTGTCTGCCCACATGCATCTTTGGTATACCGACACGCATTCCCTTCTTCCATCTGTTTCTGCAACCCTCTTCGTTGCTTTTAAATCTAAAGTTTTCTATTAAAAAATAGAACTAGTTCTGTTCAATCATTGTATCAACTCCTTCACTGTAAATAAACAGTGTCCAAAACAGAAATGATGGAGAAACATGGAATTCTGTTCTGTAGAGATTCTAGTGATTCATTACGTTGACTCTCAGCTGTATTAGTGAGATTTTGCCTGATTGGTGAAGATGAAGGGTTGAACATCATAGAATGTGTAGATATACGAAGGTAAGGAATTATCCATCGTGAGGTATGTTGTATCTTGAGTTTGGTATGTTTCTCTTGACTAGATAACTTTTTCCTCTTAGGAGTTGTTGGTTAAGTAATATTTGGTTACAAGTGGAGAGAATATCTTGAATTTATGATGGAATAGAGAAGCCTAAAAATAGGACTACATAGGCTTGGGTCCAATTGTTCAAAGTCGACAATGCCAGACTGATGGGAGAAGACTGTTATCCTAACAACACCAGATTGCAACTCATAAATATTGCAAGGTCAAACTTGTTGTAATGCGAATTTATAAAAATCTTTAGGCCTAATCTTGGGTAATTTTCTTTTCTGCATAAACTATTTAGTACTACCTTGCTCTATACAGTTTTCGAGCCATCTACCATAAAACCCCAATGTAGCCACTACTAACTGTACTATGAGACCAAGAGAAGAAAGATCTCAAACTAAATGTAATGGGAAAATCTTATTTTCTAAGAATAAAAAATCAAAAGGGAGTGGAAGAAAGAAAGATGGCAATATGAACAGAGATTCCTAGAGGCTGTTGGAAAAGCTTCCTTCACCGGCAGATAAGAAAAACAGTAGGGGAACGGAATATGTAACAACAATCCAAGGAGGCATATCTAGATGGAAACTAAGTTTCCAGGCTCGGCCCATGTAACATGCTACACCAAATAAGAGGTCTAGATTTCTAGAACAATTAGCTTATAAGGACAATCATTCTTCAATGGAAATAGCTTTTCAAATTGGATAAAAGAGAAACCTGATTCACCATTTATCAACGAAAATAGCTTCTCAAATTAGATAAAAGTGAAACCAGATAGCTGGAGAAGTAGGGATACGGGCACCCTAGTTCTGTTCCAACAGGAATTATATATCGTTGTTGTTGCAGCTTTTGATTCCACTTTTCGAGACTATCATGAATACACAGCTTACGAGCTTAAATTTTTGGTTCTGAGAAGAACGACAAGGCAAAACAATCTCGACACTCCAATTCTCTGCCTCTAGACAAACCCGCCCTAAACCCACAGGATTTCTTGGCAAGAGCAGACAAAACTCCTTAAGCAAAGCCCATGAATATTGCCTTCACAAACAATGATCTCTTAACACGACGTATATACCTTTCTTACAGTAATCTTTCAACTCTCCAAAATTTAAAAAGTAAGGTTTCTAAAAGACTATCGACCATTAAAACTAAGTCTACTCAAAGAATTGCTCTGTCTGTTGGCTCACAGCGGGTAACACACGGCATTTGGTTGGAATCAAATATTCCAAGATATTTGATGGTGCCTAAACATTTAACAAACAATGCCGTGACTCAGATAGAAAGAGTGAAACTAACAATTGAGGCCTGCTAGTTTTAAAGAGTATAGGACATGAAAGCAGATAATCCAAGCTTCAGCTGGTAACATGGGCATAAGTTACCAAAACAGAACTATTAATCGACCTCGACTTGGTTGCGTGAAAGCAACCCATGAACAGATAAACACTTGAAGCATTTCGTATTATGGTAAAATAAACTTCAAGAAGAATTGCATTTAGTAATTTGTAATTGTTAATAATTTGAATGGTCACCAAACAACTCCCCATCTCCATCTTGAAGCTCTAAATTAAAATATCTGATACGCGACAACTTATTCAAACAGGATTTGGATTTTGACATCCACTGAGAATATATCAACCATCAGAGAAGAACATCATTCCGAATTTCTAACCCTAACCCTACCAACGAAACAGGGGGTGCTATTATCACAAACCAAATTATTTGGAAAGATTAAAAAGCGATCAATCTTCAGAGAGAGAGAGAGAGAGAACCTGTAGGGATGAACGCTGCGAGTAAGGCCGTCTTTCACGATCGTTGAATTCTCCATTTCTCTCATCGCATTCAATGGAAGCTTCGACAGCCATGAATTTGTAAATAAAGAGATGCTTGAAGATTTGGCTATTCGTGATTTTGTTGTACAGAAAGAATCACTGGAGCTAAAATGGTTGGATCTTAGAAAGCTCTCACATAAGGAAGAACTCGCGGGAAAGGCAAATTGGGAAT